GAGGTGTGCGCTGTGTTTTTTTTTTCCCACTTACCTTCGGGAGAGCGGGAGAGCAGCGGCGAGTCAGCGCTGGTCCGGTGGGAGGAGCTCCAGGTGGGGTCCTAATTTAGCTGACCGGCGACTGCCTGAGGATCCCGAAAAAAAAAAAACATAGCGCAAACATCGGGGCATACAATAGAATTCATATTTTCTCAAAGAATTTCACAATCACCAAATCTGCATCTTAAACTCAAATGGTCTAAAATCCTTGGCTCTTAACTGGTGGGTCGTGACCCGTGTTCGGTGGGTCGCCACGTGCCTTCCACTTTTCTAGGTGAGAGGCTCCTCTGCCTCCCCCTAGCTCAGCACTGCCAGTTCTCTTGCCAAGCACCCATTCAAAATATGCCGCACGGTGTGGTGTTTCAGCATGGGGTGGGGCTATGGCCATGAGGGAGCTCCATCCGTACGTGCGTTGCGCACAGCTTCCTGGCGCGTCCAGTAGAGGTGCCAGAACTGGAGTGACGTCACATTCTAGTTCATATGCAATTGATGGAGGTGCCCTCCGCACACCTTTCAGCAGTCTTCTTCAAGGCAAGACATTGTCACATCTCTTGCCTTGAAGAAGGGACCCTGTGTGGCCCCGAAACGTCGGCTCATGTTGGATTTCTGTGACATCATTGTCCATTAAAAGGACTCATTCATTTTAACTTATGGAGTGCTGGTGACCTATTTTCTACATTCTAGTTCATGACACCTCTACGGGGCACACAAGGGAGCTGTGCCAGCAATGCACCTATAGATGGAGCTCAGTCACAGCACAGCAGCCCACACTGGACCTCGGGCTGAGGATCCACTCACAGTCCTCGTACGATAGGAAGACTGGATCTTATAAAAAGGAAAAAAATGGTTTTTGGTGTGTGTGTGTGTGTGGCGCATTAATTGCACCTGCCACGCACTCTGTTGTGGGAGGCGTGTTGCATTGCCCTTCATTTGAATGGCTCCCCAAACACACCTCCCGCCTACAGTTCAATCGCCCGCACCGGAACGCACGGTACTGCAATGCCGTGCATGCCATTGCAGTTTGACTTGGGTCACGACTTAAGACCCAGGACAAATGTGGGTCCTGAGCAGTGGCGTAACAATCACCATAGCGACCCAGGTTGGCCGCTATGGGGCCCGGGGCACAGTGGGGCCCGGCCAGATGCCGTGCAGGGCCGTCTGGGTCGCTGTGGGATGCTCTGCTAGCGGCTTTCACTGGCGGCTGAAGACGAACACGCCGCTGTTCAGATCACTGACGGTAATCTGTGCAGCAGCGCGTTCCTCTCCGCAGAGTCAATGAGAGCCAGCAGGGGCAGTGGAGGAGGAGGCGGGGTCCGTGGTCGGCAGCAGGGGAGCAGGCGGGGCCCGGCAATGGAGGAGGCGGGCCCGGCGACGGAGGAGG